CCCACGAGCCATAACTACTGAAGCCTGCGCACCTAGAGCCCGTGCTCCGTAACAAGAGAAGCCACTGCAATGAGAAGCCTGTGCACCACAACAAAGAGTAGCCCCTGCTCGCTGTAACTAGAGAAAGCCCCGCGCATCAACGAAGACCCATCGCAACCATAAATCAATCAATAAATAATAAAATTTTCTAAAAAATAAGGGATGGATAAGCACAAAAATCAAAACCACGGTTACCCATTGTCGGGAAGAAAGATATGATTATGACGGAGCATGTGGTGGCAGCAGTGAGATTGCTAATGTTCTGCTTCCAGAGCCGTGCTGTCCAGTATGGCAGCCACCAGTCTCGTGTGGCTGTTTAATTACATTTCAATAAAAACTCAGTTTCTCGGTCACACTAGGCACATTTCAAGTGCTCAATAGTCCGGTGACTGTCACATTGGAGAGTGCAGATATTCCGTCGTTGCTCACGCTTCTCTCTGATAGCCTGGGTTGGTGGATGCGTGGATTTGATGAATTCTCTGTAAGTTGTACATGTGTATGTATGAAATCTTTCAAAATTTTGCTTTAATTTCAGTACTAGAAAATATCTAAACACATGCATTTACAACTTCCCAAGTGAAAAGTCAGAGTCATTAAAGTCACCTGAAACTCTGTAGTAGTGTGAGAGCATCTCTTTAGCATTGCCCTCTACCCAAAATGATTGATACACATGAGGAATGTGACAAGAGGGGCAGGAAGTGTGTGTGGGGGGTACTGATGGCAAGATTACCCCAACATAGCTGCCACCTTTGCTTCCTTCCACTCTGCTGTCACTGGTCATTATAGTGCTTTATCAGCACTGAAACGCATAGTTTGAGTGACCTTGCAAGTCTCCTGAAACCTGTGTTGAAATCTGTGTTGCTAAGCTGTTGTTTCAAGGAAAAGGTGACAAGCAGCCTCCAAGTCAAAATCTTCCCTAGTTAGTGCTGTCCTTGATTTCCAGGCTTGAGGAGGTTGGTTGTCGTTACAAAGAACCTGCTTCCTCCAATTGATTTATCACATCTTGTGCTAGAGCTGGCTGCTTTGAGGCTGTTAAATACTACAAGGAGAGAGATTTATTGGTGGATATAACACTTTCTTTAAATGCTGATGTGGATTCCCAGCTGTGCGCCAAGACAGACCAGAGTCTCAGGCTGTGCTTGGCAAAGCAGAGGTTGAGAGAGTATGTTGTGATATACTTCCTGGGCTCTGTTTGCTCTCAGGTGGAGGTGTCCTTACTTGACCCCTGGGTCATGATCAGGGGTTTTGGGGAGCCCCCATACCTTGTTTGCCTACCCTAGTTCCACCCTGGTCATGATGGCAGAGATGTGAATCTGGCCAGTCCCTCGGCCCCTGCCTACCCGTATAGCAACTCGGGGCAGCAGACCAGAGGAGGCGGAAGTTGGCTCGCCCAGCCCATGTCTCTGAACATTTTTGACCACCAAAGAAATCATGCATCCTGCCTTTACTTCCCCATTTGTGTCTCCTTTTCTTGCCCCGCTTTCAGTCTTGCTTGCCAGGGTGGAAGTCACACCTAACGTCTGACTTGGGGAACCTGTCTGGCGAGGGATGTGCTGAGACTTTCGGGATGCTGAGGCCAGCATCCGAAGGAGGAGGATGGGGGCAGCAATAAAGGCAATATGGAAGGAGGCAGCAGAGAGGGACACAGATGAACTTCTGGTCAGGACTAAAGGAAGAGGAGAGGGGCATGTGTAAGGCCCTCAGTTCCTTGGGATCGTGGGTCAGATGTTCAGTGCTGCAGAGTATCCTGACTCAGATCTGTAAGCAGTTGGGAAATAAGAATTCAAAGTTTGGTCAGACTTGCTACCCATCCAAATCATATAGTTAGGTTGATTGGCTCCCTGCGTTGAGCAGGTACTGTGTGCCCAGCACATGGCTGAGTACCTCACCACGCTGCCCACAAGCCGCATCTCATTTAACCTACATCACATCAGCCGTTTCTAGAACAATGTTATCAGCCCCATTTCCCAGACAAAGAAACTTGAGACGTGGAGAGGTGCCGCTGAAGTCTGTTAACTCAAACAGACTGACTGCAAAGCTCACCGTCTTAACCACCACATGAATTATTAGACTGGTCGCATCATTTCAAAGTATAAAGAAGGAAGTATAAACTGTGCATGGGGCCCACCCTCCTTGGGCGGGGAAGGGGCAGAGGGGAGCTGGGGCGGTCACACCATCCCAGTTTACCTGCTTTGAATCCCAGGGGTGATACAGCGTTTGAGGACTGCTGCTGAGAGCCCCTCCGACCCTGCGTTGAGCCGTTCCAGGTGAGGAGAGAGGTGCATGAGCTTCCTGTGGATTTGTGTCCACATTGGGGCTCTAAGAAGGGCCTTCTGCAGTTCTGGCCAGCAGACAGACAGCTGTGAAGCTGTGTTTGGTTTGACTCCACTTGTGAACGAAGGTCAGGCCCTGGCTTTTTCTCTTTGGTCCAGAGTGCAGTGGGTTCCTAGATAATTGCAAAGGGCAGATCGTTTATCTGATCCTGCCTGCCACCTGGAAGGTCTTTGACAAAAGAATTGAACTTTGGCCCTATTAAGTCATATGCAGCACTAGTAGACACAGTGACATACCTATAATACAAGGTGCTGTGTCATTTATTTGGAAGGTTTTTTGTTTTTTGGTTTTTTCATACTTAATTGCTGGGAAAATTGAAAGGGAGTGTATTTTTTATTTTAAAAATACAGATGGGGACTTCCCTGGTGGTGCAGTAGTTAAGAATCTGCCTGCCAATGCAGGGAACATGGGTTTGAGCCCTGGTCTGGGAAGATCCACATATCGCGGAGCAGCTAAGCCCGTGAGCCACAACTGCTGAGCCCACACTCCACAACTACTGAGCCCACGCACTGCAACTCCTGAAGCCCGCGTGCTGCAACTGCTGAAGCCCACGCACCTAGAGCCCACGCTCCACAAGAGAAGCTACTGCGACGAGAAGCCCGCGCACAACAATGAAGAGTAGGCCCCGCTCACCACAACTAGAGAAAGCCTGCGCGCAGCAACAAAGACGCAACGCAGCCAAAAAAAAAAAAATACAGATACTTCTTTTTCCATTGCACAGGGTCACGTTCTCCCTAATTTTCAATCAATTTCAAGTATTTCCTGTGAATTTCTGACATTGCCTAAAGAAGCAGTCCTTTTTGTGGGTTTTTTTTTTTTGGCTGCATTGAGTCCTTGTTGCTGCACGTGGGCTTTCTTTAGTTGCAGCAAGCAGGGGCTACTCTTCGTTGTGGTGCCCAGGCTTCTCATTGCGGTGGCTTCTCTTGTTGTGGAGTGTGGGCTCTAGGTGCGTGGGCTTCAGTAGTTGTGGCACACAGGCTTCAGTAGTTGTGGCTCGAGGGCTCTAGAGTGCAGGCTCAGTAGTTGTGGCGCATGGCCTTAGTTGCTCCGCAGCATGTGGGATCTTCCCGGACCGGGGCTCGAACCCGTGTCCCCTGCATTGGCAGGAGGATTCTTAACGACTGCACCACCAGGGAAGCCCTCGTGGGGTATTTTTTCGTTGGTTGATTTGTTCATTTGTTGAATTAGTGTTTCCTGAGCATCTTCTATGGGCCAGGTACCATGTTAGCACTGGAGATGCAGGCTTGAACAAGGCAGGTACAGCCTTCAGCGAGTTTGCATTCTTGTGAGGAGATAAACACATAAATAAATAATTCAATAAGATGGTCTCAAACACTAGAAAGTGCTATGGTAAATGGCGGGTGGTAAATGAAGGAAGGCTGCTCATTGGGTTAGTTTTTTTTTACAGCTTCATTGAGATATAATTCACATAACATGACTCCTTTAAAGTGTAGAATTCAAGTTTTTTTTTTATAGTAATTCACTGGGTTGTATAATGGTCACCAGATTCTAATTTTAGAACACTTTTAATCCCCCACCAAAAGAAACCTCTTACTCACTAGCAGCCCCTCTCCGTCCCTCTCCACTCTCTTCAGTCTTAGGCAACCATTAATCTACTTTCTATCTCTATAGATTTGCCTGTTCTGGACATTTCAGATATATGGAGTCATACACTGTGTGGTCTTTGTGACTGGCCTCTTTCACTTAGCATAATGTTTTCAAGATTCATCCACAGTATAGCATATCAGTACTTCACTTAAGTGTAATTTTATGCCTAAGTATTTTATTCTTTTTGATGATTGTGAATGGAAGCTTTTTAGACATTCATTTTTTATATGTTCCTTGCTAATGTATAGAAATACTGATTTTTGTATATGATCTTGCATGTGATTTTGTATATCATCTTGTATCCTGTGAGCCCACTAAATTTGTTTATTAGTACTAGTAGTTTCTTAGTGGATTGCTTGGGATTTTTCATATACAAGATTATGTCATCTACAAATAGAGATAGTTTTATATCTTCCTTTCCAATCTGGATGGCTTATATTGGAGTAAGAGAGTACAAAATTGAATGACAGTAGTAAGAACGGACACCCTCATCTTGTTCTTGATCTTGGCGAGAAACCACTTAGTCTTTCACTGTGTCCCCGAGGGTTTCAAACACCTTAGTTCTGTTTCAGTGTCCACTGCCAGCTCTGAGGCCTTACCCATGTCACTTGTTGCAGTTCCCTAAACCAGAAAACGAGAAGTTTGATTCAAAAGGGCCTTCCTTTCCAGTTCTTACATTCAGCACTTCTGTGATTCTACTTTGGTATTCTTTCATCTTAGCTGGTTCCCTTGGACATTGGTTAGATCATCAGACAAACTCTATAAGGACACTTGGAAATATTTTCACGTTCGTTTTCCAAAGCCATTTTGACTGCTTTCAACCTAGACTAGATGGAAATTGCAAAAATTGAAACGTGCAAGCAGAAATGGTTAATGGATCCATATTTCCTTTTCTTTGTAACCCTGAACAGCTAGGGGGAAAGATTTGTTTGAGGACGGTGATCATTTCCACAAAAGGTCAAAGAACCACAGCTTCTTCCCACTGTACCTCTAAAAATCATTACCTTCTTTGTTTTCAGACTCTCAGCGTTCTCATCTCTCCTCCTTCACCATGAAGCTGATGGACAAATTCCACTCACCCAAAATCAAGAGAACGCCATCAAAGAAGGGAAAACCAGCTGAGGTGTCTGTGAAGATTCCAGAGAAGCCTGTGAACAAAGTAAGCTGACTCTCTAGGTGCTTCTCCTGGCCTTCACCTGCTTTGAGCAATGAGTTTGTGCTGTTTTTTAAGTTTATTCCCTGGGGATGGAACTTTCAGTACAGAACACCTATTCCATAGCATTCCACGGCTCCAGGCGGAGCTTTCATTGTCCCTGTGGAATATGAACCTTTAGGATGGTTGAGTGTTTCTCCTGTTAATCAGAGTCAAGCTTGGTTGGCTAGAACAGTTCTTTTCCAGCTGTGTCATCCTCTGGGCATTTAAAACAGCTCAGCTCATCATGTTCACACTCCAGGATGCTGCCTCTGTGCCCCAGAGAGGCCCACGTTGCCCACACATACTCACTCTCTCAATCTCTCTCTCTCTCTCTCTCTCTCTCTCTCACACACACACACACACACACACACACACACACACACACAACACACACACACACACACACACACACACACACACACACACACACTCGTGATGTCCAGAACATCCAATCATTCGGCTTTAGGGCCCATGCTCTGAAACTTGCTAAACCCTTGAAACCCAGCCAAAGATGTCCTCAAACACCAGTAACCTCAGCAGGGCCAGTCAAGCCAGATGTGTTGGAACAGCTGTTGGTTTTCATCAACCCTTCCCTTCAGCCTAAAACGGCCATTTCAAGCTCTGTAGGAATCCAGGTTTCCTCTCTTCCAGGAGGCAACAGACAGATTTCTACCAGAGGGCTACCCTATCCCCTTGGATCTGGAGCAGCAGGCAGTAGAATTTATGTCCACCAGTGCTGTGGCTTCCAGGTCTCAAAGGCAGAAGGTCAGTGTGATGTTAAGAACAATTGGGTTTGCCTTGCCCTCTACTGCAGAATCCTGGCCCATGGTTTTGGGGATGGAAAAAAAATCTATTGCAATATCATTGTGTTCAGCTGGGTGGCAACTGTGGGCTTAATTGTTCAGGAAACAGTCCAAGGAGCCTTGGATAAATGTAAGAGATTATCCAAGCCCCCATGGCCTTTGGAGAGAGCTCAGTACTCCATGGCGAAAGCTCTGGGATTTTTGGGATTGGTTTGGGTGTGCTGCTTGGGTCCAACGGGTTCGGGGGAAGCGGGTGAGTCTCATCTCTTAAGACCAGCTGTTCTTTCCTTGAGTTGCTAAGATGATCTGGATAGTTGCGAAAAGGAAGGGCATCTAAAGTGTAAGGTACTCTGTTAACTATCTCCCGAGACTCGTGAGTGTGATGATACTGTGTGGAACCAGCGCTCTCAGAGCCAGGGACACCTTTTGTGCCGCTAACATGTACCAAGCCTTTTTTTAGCCCCATGCTATGTGCTTTACACTCGTTCTCTCACTTAATTCTCATTATAACCCTGGAAGGTGGAAACTTATCTTGCAGAAAAGGAAGCTGGGAGTACGGAGATATTAAACGTTTGGGCAAAGTCACACAAAGAGCAGTGATGCTGAGATTTGAACACAGGCCATCTGACATCAAGTCGAAACTCTCTCGATGCTACAGTTACTCTTTATGAAAGTCAATTTATTTTTTAGTATCTAAGAAATGTAATGTTAGCTCCCACACGTAACTGAACATAAAAACAAAATTAAACTCAGCAGTGTAAAATAAAGACAAGCCTCGTAGATAAGTAGATTCTGAACCCTTCAGTGACTGTCCACAGTGTAGTTTGTAGAACTGTTGTCACAGCTGTCAATTTAATGCCACTAGCAAACACTACCCTGTTATATAAACACATAACTCTTGAATTTTGCAGTGTATCTACTTCTGTTTTTATGTTGACCAGCAGAATATCTTAAAAGTCTAGTTAAAAGTGGAGAAAATAGGTTTTAAGTCCAAAGTCTTTGTTGAGTAATCGTTTTTCCTGCCCCATCTGTTAAGAAAAAGAGGCTATAGAGAGCAAGAATGAAATATATGGTGTTTGCCAGATTGATCTAAATTCCAGATTGAAGAGTAATAAAGTGGAAGATTTGGTCTGTACCACAATTATTTTTTATTGCAATCTGTTTAGCAACCCCTTGGAACTGGGTTTTATATTAAATGCCAGGAAGAGTGTCACTTGTCATCTGACACTAGTCCAGGCAGCCCGGAGTAAAATGATTTACTAACCACTGTGTTTTGCTAGTGAACTCTGATAAGAAACTCTTTCAGCCGCTCACTTCTTGGAATTTTTCCCCCTTTCTTCATCACTCCAAGAGACGTCATAGGGGAAATTTGATGCTCAAGTACCCTTTCCTTAGTGGGGGTTTCTGCAAACTCCAGGGGACATTTGGCAATGTCTGGAGACATTTTTGGTTGTCACAACTAGGAGATTGAAGCAGGTGCTACTGGCATCTGTTGACTGGAGGCCAGGGATGCTGGTAAACATCGTACAATACAGAGCACAGCAACCCTGCCTCGCCCCCCCACCCCAACAAAGGATTTTCTGTCCTAAAATGTCAGTGCCATGGCTGAGAAACTGTTCTCTGGGAAGGAGCTATAGATGTGATCTTCACCCAAGGAAGAGTGTTACCCTGGTTTCTGCTCATTGCCCTTAAAGAAGGGTTGAATTACTGTGCTCTGCCCCAGGCCACCTGCATGAGACAAAGTGAGTATAAACCCATGGTGGAGGCCCACAGTCAGAACAGGAAGTGTTGGGGAATCTGCCAGGGTGTGTGAACTTAGCCGACTCTGTCATTTGCCATCATCCTTAATTATCACTTACTAGCTGTCTTACGACTTAGTATTTCCATATATATTCTCATTTTCCCCAGGTTATTACATGGGAAATTGCAACTCAGGTAGACAGAAATAGATTTGGACCCATCTACAACTTACTACAGGTCTCTCTTTGCCCGGGCCCTATCCTGGGTGATTTCACGCGCCGTCTTACTTACTCCTCACCTTGACCATGTGCACAAGCTTTCACTCTTCCCAGTATACAGAGAGTGTGGGCTCTGGCCCAAGTTTTCTTAATCAAACTCTCTTTCTCCCTTAATTTTACGAAGTGCTTCCATATGCATTCTCACCCAGCCCCCACGAACCTGTTTCGGTCACCCAGGGCAGGCGTGTTTCTCCCCGTTTTGCAGGTGAGGAGCCTGAAGCCCAGCAGTGCCTTTGGGTCGAGGCCCTTCCCCAGCACCGCTGGCCTCATGTAGTTTCCAGGTTTGTTTGCACCAGTCGCGGCATCTAACCCCTGACGCAGGAGCCGGTGTGCAGGTGGATGCAGCTGCCTCTCTTGAGGCCTCGGCCTCGGCCTCAGGTTCCCTGTTCCTGGGGGTGTTCGGTCTGGGTGTCTCATTGTAAACTCTTCCGACTGCTGGCTATGTTTTGCGAGAAGCCATAGTTTAACAGCTGATGGGCTAGGGGAATGCACAGCGTTCAGAGGCCATTAATTCTGGGAGTGGAATTTGCTGGAGAGTTAATGGATGAAACCTGACTCTGCTAGGTTGTCGGCTCCTTTATTAGGAGCCCAGGGCAGCCCGGCTCTTCAGTGGCTCATTTGATCTCTCTGCAAATGACAGGAGAGTTCTCTTTTTTTCTGTGAAGTGCCTTGCCGCTTTTGGACGGCTCCCATCTCCAGATTAGCCCCTTTCTCCCTAGCAAACCTCGTGACACATTTTCTTAAAATGTTTCCTGCTTCCCCCCCACGTTTTGTCACTGCTGGCTCCTTGCGCGTCCTGATGTGCTGAGATGGCAGTGTCGTAGCCAGAGTCCTCTTGCTCAACTGGCCAGAGTGGTTTTAGTCACATTTGATGTCTGCAAGGCACCATGAGTTCCTTCATACTGAGGTTCCTCTCAGCCCTGTGTAGGCCATGGCGAAGCAGAGCGCTCTGGGCCACGAGATGGAGAAGCAAGTGCCTGGCTCTTGGAAACACACAGTAAATAAACAAACGTGTCAGGTAGTGAGAAGAGAAAAATAAGTGACAGCAAAGAGGCCACAGTGATGGAGATGGAGAAGGGGTGTCTTTTTCCTCCCTTGGAGAAATGTATCATGGTGGTCTACAGGGTACCTCTTGGGAAGTGCCCCCATTGAGACAGATCAGATCGGGTTTTTGAAAGTTGTCTGACGAAAGGAGCTAATTACTTCTTGATTCCATTTATATATTTTTCCTTTGATATTCCCATAAAATCCACTATTGAAATTTTTTATTTAAAATGACATTCCTCATTATTTTAAAAGAGCTGGTGTTCAGAATCATAATCACTTTTCATTGTGTATCACTTTTTTATGTATTTATATAGTTGTTTTTTTTTTTTTTTTTTTTTTGCTGTACGCGGGCCTCTCACTGTTGTGGCCTCTCCCGTTGCGGAGCACAGGCTCCGGACGCACAGGCTCAGCGGCCATGGCTCACGGGCCCAGCCGCTCCGCGGCATGTGGGATCTTCCAGACCGGGGCACGAACCCATGTCCCCTGCATCGGCAGGCGGACTCTCAGCCTCTGCGCCACCAGGGAAGCCCTTATATAGTTTTAAATCTACTTTTTCTAGAAATTATCTTCTTGTTCTCGGTAGTTTTTATTTGAATATTCTCTGGACCTCAGAGAGCCCACAGGTGGCAGTTTTCCTCATACGTACCACTCTTAATTTGCCCTGGACGTGTAATCAATTCTACTTGAGTAGATTATCCATTTTTGGATTTATCCATTTTATAGATTATTCTTGATCTCCCTTTCCCTGCCAGCCAGCTGGGACCTGGGTTGTTGACATTAGGGTCAGTATAAGGAGAGGTTGGAGAAAGAAACCAGAGGGGTGTGTTTACCCACTGTCTGTGCATTCAAGGTATCCCACAGTCAAGGAGAAAAGATTTGGGTGTGGTTATGTGAGTGCTGGGAAGCACAGGACTCTGTGTTTTACTTTCCTCCTAGGCGGGCTTTCCTCAGGGGCAGAGGGACCCTGTGTGCTGTTAGCACATATGCTGCAGGAGTAGTGATTGAATCGTTGCCATCTGTCCAGCTTCTTCACCTTTTCACCCCAGCACGTCCCGCCCCTTCTAACCCTAGGGTTTCCAGGTCCTTTGGGAGAGCCATATCATTTCATTGAGAGGGGCTGCGTCTCTGGTCAAATGTGGGAATCTAGTGAGGAGTGCTGGGAGAGTGGATTTTGAGCACTAATGCCTCTGACCAGTCTTACACAGCCCCTAGGACCTTGAAAGGCCTTGATTTGACTTACTGGATAGATACACACGTTGGGACTTAACTGTTGGTTCTGTAAGCATCCTGCAGCCATCAGCAAATTAGTCCTCACTACACTTACTGAGTTTAGTGGTGATATCTCAGTGTGATTGAGGCGGAGACCCCAGGGCAAATCAGTCTCTGTCCGGGGAGGGAATTAGGAATATCTAAACAACCTTTCTCAGTCAGCCCCTTCTTCTTCCTTCAAGCCTAGCCTCTGTATCCTGATTGCAATCCTTAGAAAAACAATTTGGCTTGCTTTCTGCAGCAAGAAGCCTTTTCCATTGGTGTCAATCTCAAACTAGTTTGCAGGAAATTTTATTTTATTTATTTTAAAATTGCTCCCTTTAATCTCTCTCCTCCCTCCTTACTCTTAACGTTTCCTTTCAGAACCTGAGCTGGCTGGAAGAGAAAGAGAAGGAGGTTGTCAGTGCCTTGCGCTACTTTAAGACCATTGTGGACAAAATGGCTATTGATAAGAAGGTACTGGAGATGCTTCCAGGGTCTGCCAGCAAGGTGCTGGAGGCCATCTTACCCCTGGTGCAGAGCGACCCTCGAATTCAGCACAGGTGAGTTGCTCTGGGCTGTGTCAGAGCAGTGGAGGCCTAGTGGCACCTTGGTTCAGGGGCATTTCACACTCAGTGTTTCTAGGACCAGTGAGGAGTGCCAGGAGGAAAAGGAGCCCTCCCACGCCCTGCCCCCACCCCTACCCCATGGCTATCGCTTGGTATTCTTCCAAGGTTGAGGTCATCATTGTTACTCATGAGGCCTCAACACTGAGGAAGATCGCCACCATTGCTAGGGATGTAGCCACAGTGTAAGTCTGTGGTTATTTTTTCGTACTAGCCAGCTCATTGGCAATAATCACATTGATTTGGACCCATTTTTCCCAGTACCCTATGTTAACCATAGTTTATTATGACATTAAATCCTGCCAATATCTAACCTATTGGAGACCTTGGCTGCTTAGATTATTAGGCCAAAAGAGGTAGAGAAGAATCCCATTAGAGCATGGATTAGTGAAACATTTAATTGTATCAAGCCAGGTCCTCCCAAACAGCACCTGGATTCATTGGAAGCCAGGTATGGAAGTGTAGTCAGCTTTTGTGGAGTAATGCTTTTATTGCTAGAGTTCGTTTTCCTCTGAAAGGTTAGTGAGCGGCTTGCCCCTGTGTTTGTTGTTAAATACAGAAAGGAAAGCAGTATTAAATGTAATCTTCAGCGAGAGCCTATCAGGAGCTTCTTCCTGAGAGGCTGTCAGATGCCTGCTGGCTTTGTTTTTCTTCCCTGGTACCTGTTCGGGATAAACATCTCTCTGTTTCAGTTCCTCAAGATGGTTTAGTGTCCTTGTAGCCCCATGAGGCTAAGCTTTTGTAAACTGCTTTCAGAACTTGACAGTGAAGTGCATAGTTTTCTTCTTCTGGGAGATAAAACAGTATCTTTATTTCCAAGAAGCTCTCTGCCCTGGAGTTTCTGCTGACCCCTGTAGATGGTGGTCTTTTGGCTGGAAGCTCACTGAAGCCACTTGGCGGGGAAGGATAAGGCGTTGGTAGGGCTTTGCTCTGCCCTGTCTTCACGTTCCAGGCCAGGCTGCTGTCATGTACAAGAAGCCTCTGAGGAAGCGAGTCCCTTTGGCGCCTTGTTCAGTTGCTCCACATGGAGGACTCTGTGAGACCAGCACCACGCTTTTCCAATAGGTAGCCCAGCGCCCAGCTTGTAGACAGGCCCGGTGCTGTTCTCCTTTGAGGGAACGTGCTTAACAGTATGCTGGGTTTCAGACGCACAGGTAGCTTTTATGAAATGCTCTCATACACTTCTCATGGGATGGGCCTACCGTGGGAGAGTTCAGATTTGAAAAAATCAACTCCCCCACTGTATGACAGTGCTGATTTGATGGTACCGAGTGGAAGCTCTGTTTGACTTTGAAGGAGGGAGACTTACAAGAGAGTTTCACTTCCTGGGGGAGGATATGCTGCAGCTGGACCTGAAGGAAGGGCAGGATTTGAATGGGCAGTGGGGGCAGGAGAAGGAGAAGAGCAAAGGAACTGAGGCCAGCGGGCACAGTGTGCCCGGCAGGGACGAGACCAGCCGTCCTGTGAGCAGGGTGTGATCACACCAGGGCGCCGACCGGCGGCGCTGTGGGAAATGAGGGCGGGTCCCCTCACGTGCCAGGCCTCTTTGGGAGCGTCCAGGACAGTCACCTTCACTGAGCCCTGTAACAGCGTTGACAGGGCGCTGCTGCTAGGACTGTCGCTCCCTGCAGTGTCAGCCAGCAACTCTGCTTGGGAAGTTACTTTCTAGACATGCAGGCTCTGGAAGAATTGACCGAGTAATAGGACAATGGTCTGGGGCGTTTTTTGTCCATGGGGAGGTTTTGTAATTACTTTATAGTTGACAGAAATTACTTGCTGTCTATAACAGTTTTCTAGAGGGGAAAGGAGAAATGCCTGGGTGTGGCCATAATGAATAATGATTTCTTTTTTTTTCTTTGTAGTCCTTTGGCTAATACCATTTAAGGGATTTGTTCCTCCTGAAATTCTTCCAAAGCCCGTTGATGATACTTTTATTGATCTCCCTGAGATGATCTAAAATGCTCCTCAAATGTTTCTTTTAGCTTCCTTCCATCATTTCATCCTCCTGTGCATTTGTTAGCTGAGAGGGTGTTTTCCTGCCTCTTCTCTGTGGGTTGGGCCCTAGCAGGTAGGCTCTTCGCCACGCTCCCCTAGGTTCCAAGGGCAGTGGTGACGGACCTGTGAACAAGCAGCTGGCTGTTCAGTGTGGGCAATGAATGGAGGCTTTTCCTGATGGTGGAACATTCAGAGATGTTTGAGAGCAGGATCCCTGCTTGCCCTCAGTGCAGACAGCTTTGCTCCATTTCAGAAACAGACCAACGACTGGTCCACTGGACATTTTGATGGTACAAGACCCTCCTTCCTTTTTTAATGTCCTTCCCGTGACATTAAGACACAGGAATATTCTTCTTGCAAGCTCACAATGTGAAGGGTGGACACAATTACCAACATTTTTAGGTGCTTTCAGGGAAATGTTAACATCCAGTGCAGGTAGGAATTAAGTATCACATAAAAGTGACCCCTCCCACCTCTTTCATTTAATAATTGTGGGTGGGAGGCCACAGTCTTTGTTTCAAGAGGCCTAGCCTGGCCTTGCCAGGGAGGAGGAACAGAGCTGCTAGAAGCACACCCCCCTTCAGGACGACGCCATCTATGGTCCGGCCCCCCGGCAGGTCTGCAAGTTGTGTTTTATTCTCTCAGTCCTCCTTCGGAAGAGAATAGGTCTGACACCAAACACTTTTCATTTGTATCGTCCTCTAAAGCAGCCAAACCCTGGCTTTCTTGGGTTTCCTTTTGTAAAGTTTTCTTGTTTTTAATGGGGCTTGAGGAGCTGCTTTCATTCTTTCTGACTCTTCTTTCCTCCCGCCGGAACATGCACGGAGCCGAGTGAATGGCTAAGTGGAGACTTCAGACCTCCTGGAAATTCTCTTCCTCCTTACCTGATTCTGAAGAGCTTCTCATTAGAGCATTGTTTGGTTCAGGCTTTTTTTTTTTTTAATGTCTTTGTTTTTAGAACCTGTTTTAATCATATCTTACAATATTATATATTTTTCTCAAAATTATCTTTGGAGAAAAAGTATATCTTTGGCTCCTAAATGTCTGCCTCATTCTTTTTTTTTTTTTTTTTTAGTGGAGGAGGTAGCATCCCACATATTTTCTACATTTTTGCTCTACCTCTGTTGTAATACATAATATTTAAAATGGCAAAATAATCCTTTCCATAAATCCTAGGGAAAAGTATCTTTAGTTGTTTAAAAATATGTGGAAGATATAAAACTTCTTCATTTGGGCCTCCACTCTACAGTCGTTGGGGCCTCCAGATGTGCTCAGGGCTTCTGTTTTGAGTTGTTGGCGTCACATTGAAGTTGGTACCTCCTCCCCCCACCTACCGTCACCACAGGTCACCTCGCCTCTGACTTGTCCTCCTTAAAATACTCCTCATTAGTGCATTCCTCTGACATCTCAGCCATGGTTTATTGCAGGGGATGGTGAAGCTGAGCCCATGTTAGAAGGAATTCTAGTAAATTTCAGATCTCTTTGAGCTCATGTTTAAAGACTGTTCCTTGGGACTTCCCTGGCAGTCCAGTGGTTAAGGCTCTGGGCTTCCACGGCAGGGGGTACAGATTCGACCCCTGGTCAGGGAACTAAGATCCAAAAAAAAATTTTTAATAGAAATAAAGGCTGTTCCTTTAAAGGATCCTGCCTGCTAAAGTTCCACAAACCTGTTGACTCCTTGTGACACAATACAACATGAATTTTTATCTAATTCAGAGCAAGAAGTGTACAATAGTCTGACCTACTAGAAGGAGAGGAAGATGAGGCACTCCTTGAGAGATGTTATCAGAATCTCGTGGAGGATGTGAAGTTTGAAAAAGCATATTAACTATCATGGTGGAATTTTTATACATTATATATGAGAAATGAAAAAAAATTTATAACAGACTGGAAGATAAAGCTCCACAAAATCTTCACGGGATGTAAGGAAATAGATTCAGGGAGGAAAAGTTTATTAAAAGGAGGTGCAGATCTTATAGAAAGAAGGATTGAGAAACCCTAGTCACTGAGAAACTAGTTCTCTGCTAAACAGATGACGTAAAGTGATGGTCATGCTTTAGATTTTTAATATTCTTTTAAAAATCTTCTTCTACCTCTAGCTCAGCCCTCTCCTCCTGCTATAGCCGAGTGTACCAAAGTCTCGCCAACCTCATTCGTTGGTCTGACCAAGTGATGCTAGAAGGTGTGAACTCAGAAGATAAAGAGATGGTGACAACTGTGAAGGGGGTCATCAAAGCCGTGCTGGACGGAGTGAAGGTACGTGCAGGTTCCAGACGGTCCTCATCAGGGGCTTGGAGCACCCTCCCTGCTGGGTGTTTGTCACATAAGAACTTGTTCCTGAACTTTGTACATTAGAGCGCACGTCTTCTAGTGTTTCTGCTGTTGGGTGCTGCCCTGTCCCACAGCTGTTTCTCCATGGTACAGGTGACTCTTACAGGAATATAACCTTTGGAGTACTCGTCCTGATAGTTAGAAAAGCTTCCAGAAGCAGTCAGCCTTTACTGGGCCTTGTGTTAAATCTACAGGTAGTCTTTATACTACAGCTCTGGCTGTGCACACTTGCCGGCTAGATGAAGTCCAGTGGAAATTGCTTTTGCACTGACTTTTAGCAAAACTCCCAGCATGTCAACTGCTACCTTTTCATGTTCTGAGAACTTCTGGGATTCTTAGTAGAAAAGCAGGATTGACGTGAGTAAGAAATGAAACTAACTGTACTTGAAATCCATGATGTGGTCTGTGAATTTACTACCCAGGCAAGTCAGAAATGGCATAATAGGAAATTATGAATCATCGTTATGGCGGGAAGTGAAGTCCTTGGAGGCTCTGGAATTGAGGTCCAAGGGACAAACCTTAATTGAGAAAATAAGTCCCAGTGGATGAGGAGCAGGGCAGGATGTAGGGCGTGAAACAGTGAGATCCTGTGGGTTGGGACGGGGCTGTGAGCGGTGGGAATGGGAGGCCGGATAATGTAGTGGAAAGCGGGCTAGACTAGAGTAGAGCCCAGCTAGATTGGAATCCCAGGTTCACCACTTACTAGTCTGTGAACTTGAGCAATTTACTCAAGTGCTCCGTACCTTAGTTAACTCATCTACAAAATACATGCAGTTGTGGTACCCTGTGTCATGGGGTTGTAGGAAGGATTAAATTAGTTAATACATATAAAGCTTTTAGAACTATGCTGGGCATACTAAACACTCAGATCTTAGCTGCTGTTTATTATTAATTATGTGGTGCTAGATGTATGCTTTGCAAACAGGTCTCTTGGCTTGAAAAACTGTGTTCTCTTCCTTTCTAGACCCTCCAGTACAAAACTGTGGCCAAGGTACTTAGCCTAGGTCCAAACAATTCCTTCCCCACTCAACCATGCCATTAGACTCCTGAATGCTGCCTCCTTGGATTGACATTCCCCAGAAGCTCTGGAGAGTAGAATAAGGACCCCCAACGGGTAAAAATTACAGATGGGAGGCTAAGAAAGCATTGCTGGACATTGCACACTGCTCTGGAATGAACCGCGTTGGCTGATGCGGTCTGGGCGGCTCCCCACCTCCAATACTGTGTGAACAGGGCTGCTGTGTCTGCTGGGGCTTTATGGAGCTCACGTAGAGGGAGGCTTGACTGGGCAGCATCACAGCGTGTCCTCTGACAGTTCCCCGTTCTCTTCACTCCCCACGGTTACTAGGTTACTAGGTTACTAGGTCCTGCACGATCGGTTTTGGCTGGTGAGACTTAAGGATGTAGCCCAGGGTGGCTGCTGTGTGGGACCTGACGTTGCTTTCCAGACCTGGCGCCCAGTCACACATTCTCCCATTCCAGCCTCCCGGCCGCTCTCTGAGGTCAGCAGGGCAAGTGAGACGTGACCTGGGTCCCACTTCACCATCGGGGGGTGTGCGCTTCAGGCTCGCCTCACCTTGCTCTTCCTGTCCAGGCTTCTGGAAATGCTGTTATTGACAAGTGTTATCTTTCAGGTGACATTGTTAAGGATTCCTTCTACCAAATTGATTATAATTAGATGTTTCAAAACAAGTCAGAACATCCAAAATAGAAGAGAGAGTTAAGCGTGAAGCTTTGTGACATTCCCAAGTGCATTTCCTTTATGGAATCATTAACGTGCCACTGTATCAGCTGAAAAATTGTCTAAAAGAAAAGTTTCTCAGATTTTTCAAATTGACCAGGATAAGAGAGGGGGAGGGAGAGAGAAAGCGAGAGACACCTATTGATTATGAACCTGTCAGCGTCTGAACTTTTCCGGAATTGTTTTTAAAATACTGTAACCAGAACAAAGATTCTCTAGGTGAGGAGCTCTGTACGTTAAATTTTGTTTCATTTATTCAAGAAGCGTTTATTGAGAAACTCCTGTGTGCGGGGCAGCGTGATAGAATTGGGAATATAGTGATAAACAAAACTGGCACCGTCCCTGACCTGATGGAGCTTAGAATCTAAAGGCGGAAAAGGACAGCAATCGAAAACTTGTAATTGTATAATTATAACCAGGACTGGTGCTATAAAGGAAGAATGGCGTGTGGTCTTACTTGGGTGTAGGGGGGACCTTCAATTTCAGGGTGATCAGAGACACTTCCCCAGGGAGAGACAGGCAGGCTAAAGCCTAAAGGATGAGCAGGAGCTGGCCTGTGTCGCTAGGAGTTTTTCATAGTTGGAGTCAGTCAAGGCCACAGGGACGATTTAGACACTGTAATGTTGGCGTTTGCTGTTAAGGTCTCAACTGTAATCATAGCTAACGTGTATTACCCAACTGTAAAATGCTTATAACGACCTCCGAGGTGGGTGTGATCCCCTCCTTCACAGCTGGGGAAACAGTCTCAGGCAGACCAGTAGTCAGTGGCAAGGGCATGATTCACACCCAGGCCTGCTGGACCCCAGACCCTGTGTTCTCGCCATCACCCTCAGCTGCCACCCACAAGGCGGAAGATTCATGGTTCGGCCCAAGGGATTCAGTGTGTCTCCCCTCCAGGCCAGCTGGCCTCCAGCCGCTCTCACTGTCCCCGTCAGGCTTAGGACACCTTATAAGCTCCTGTCCTCATGGTGTGAGGGAGCTTCGGTGGGCTGGGAGGGACAGGACTGTGCAGAGGCGAGCTACACCCGTGAGGGTGTCATCATCCCACTTGGAGGGAAAGTGTTGGCATGTTCCTGTAAACTGACTCACCATCTTCCAAGTTACTCATTCACTTGTTAAATGGAATTTTGCTTTTGAGGGTTGTAAAAGTGTTGTAAAGCAGGATTACTTTGTTTTTGTCCCTGAATGTGCAGTACCATCTATCATTTAAACCCCCATGTAAATGCCACTTGTTAGCTCTGTAACCTTGGGCAACTTAACTCAGGTCGAAGGATGGACCTCTCTTACTATCTAATCTGACCCAGGCAGGTGCTTTACCAATGGGAGCCTGAGACACAGATGGTCATGACCGTCTGGAAGGAATTCAAAGGCCTTCACTTTCCCTTTGCTGTAGGAACCACCTCCAGCCTAGGTCTTGGCTGTTGGAGGACTGAGCTTCTCAAGGTCAAACAGATACACGAGTTTGTCCTTTCAAAACCAAGACCCCAACTCTTCCTAATCTCACCTTTTCAGCTTTTCTTCTTATCTCAGATGTACAGCTTCTTAACCCATCTCTCTGGACTCTGCTTTACCATCTCTGCAGACCTTCTTGGATCTCCCTTCTAAGACCTCCAGTCTCTTCCCCCACAACACACACACACGCGCGCGCACACACACACACACACGTTTTTTAATTGGAAGAAAAAAAAACACTGACCCGGGGGGAAACTTTGGAATACTTGCAGTTCTGTCATTTAACCATCACCACCCAAAAACTGGGCTTGTATACCAGATTCACCTTGAATAGCAGGAATATTTTGAAAGAAATATTTTCCTGACTGTATCAGTTAGGGTTAGACTTGACTGCAAGAAAATCCAGAATAATACTGGCTTCAAAAGATAGAACTTTATTTCTCCTTCACGTATAAGAAGCTTACAGATAGGCAGACAGTCCAAGGCTAGTGTGGCATTTTCACAAAATGGCCAGGGATGTGGTCTCCTATCCTGCTTTCCCACCATCTTCACACATGGATTCCACCTCATGGTCCAAAATGGCTGTCACAGTCTCCATGAATTATGACTCCATTCCACCTAGCCAGGAAGAAAAGAGAGTAGGAAGTTGTGGCTTCTCCATTTAGGGGTGCTTCCTCAAAGGCCTCACAGAACTTTCACTTAACATTTTATTGGCCAGAACTTGGTCATATGCCCAAGTAAAATTCTGTTAATAAGGAAGAGCAGATACTGTGGGGCAACTAGCTATCTCTACCACACTGACATTTCAGATGAGCCACCTCTTTTATTCCTTGATCAGCCTATTTTAAAATTCTTATTTATGGGCTTCCATGGTGGTGCAGTGGTTGAGAGTCCGCCTGCTGATGCAGGGGACACGGGTTCGTGCCCCGGTCCGGGGGGATCCCACATGCTGCGGAGCGGCTGGGCCCGTGAGCCATGGCAGCTGGGCCTGCGTGTCTGGAGCCTGTACTCCGCAACGGGAGAGGCCACAACAGTGAGAGGCCCACGTACAGCAAAAAAAAAAAAAAAAAGAAAAAAAAATCTCATTTATGATGAATTTCAGACATTTGCAAAAAAGAGAACAGTATAATGTAACCCCATCACAGAACTTCCACAGTTGGCCAATCTTGTTTCTTCCAGACCTCTTCCTACTCCCCTGGATTATTTGGAAGCGAATTCCAGGCATCATGCCCATTCACCTGTAAATACCTTAGTGCATATCTCTAGAATAAGGCAAACTTTTTCTGTAAAGGGCCAGGCAGTAAATATTTTAGGCTTCTGGGGCTACACATAGTCTCTACTGCATATTGGTCTGTTGCATATTCTTTGTTTGTTTTAATTTAATTTTTTTTAGCAAAGCATTCTTACCTTGAGGGCCTTACAGAAGCAAGCCCTGGGCTGGATTTGGCCTTCAGGGTATAGTTTGCTGTTTTCAAACAGTTTGGTTTTCAATTTCAGATCCAGATAAAGTCCAAACACTATAACTCATGAATATTTGTCTAAAGTCCTCCCTTCTCTGTATTTTTCTCCTTGCAACTTGTTTTTTTTAGGGAAGGGTTGTTTCTCTGAGAAGCCTCCCACACTCTGGTTTTGCTGATCACATCTATGCAGTGTTATTTAACATGTTCCTCTGTCCCTTGAGTTTCCTGCAAAACTAGGCTGAATCAGGTTCATGTTTTTGTATCTAGAAGAA